TCGTTTTCAACTTCACTTTCACCCCGAATAATCTAGAACTTGCCTGATTATGCAATTAAATCAGTAAAAATCTCGGGATCCCGGAGCTGTAATCCCGGGATTTCGGGGAGTAGAAAAGTGTTCGGGATTCCGGCATATAAAAATCTACTACAGAATTTAATTTTGCTACGATTTTTCACTTCATTTACTCCGATTTAGGTTTGTCGTAGTTATAATCCTGAAAAGAAAAAATGTCCTAAAGTAAAGTCAATAACGGTAAGTATTGCTTTCAAAGCTACTTATTAACCTACTTCAAAAAAAAAGGGGAAGGTTATCAATTCATCGGAATATTATTTTTTAAGTACCTACAATTACTTGCTTTACGCAAATATCGTCGTTTAAAGTACAAAAGCGCGTATCAACAAAATGCAAAACCGCGTATGTGAGGTTGCATAAATTATTTTCTGGAGAGTAAAAACACTCATATTTCAAAATGGTTGCGTTTTTTATAAAGCAATCGCATTTCTGGCTAGTATATATCAGGAGGAATGGATAAGGATTGAGCCAACAGCTTTTGTACTTCAACCGACGATATGTAAATATGTACAGATCACCGCGCCCATGCACGTTCAGCTGGGGTATACCAGGCGTATGCGTAATATAGCAGAAGCTCAACGTTCTTTCATACATACATATGTATGTATGTAGGTACACATATACGCAGCGACCTAAGCAAACTCTTCCAAAAATATCGCTAACTATTTCAGTGATGTTCGTAAATCATGATTACGAATGCAGTCATGTGTTGCTATAAACATTATCGAGCGGCTTTAACGCTAAGATAAGAGAGAGTAGCGGAAAGGGGCAACAAATATTATCTCAAAAGAATCTTTAGTGTGCCAATTATCAGCGATCCGTGAAATTCGTACCTATGTAAATACATATGTATGTACATGTACACACAAATACAGATGTATGCACCAGCTTTGACGCGAACGCTCGCTAATAATTAGCAAATAGTGAATCCATTGCCAAAGATTTTTGTCAAACACAGTAAATATGTACTCATATTGCAAAATGAGGAGGTGGATGGATATCTTCACGCCTGCCTAATTTACAAGTTGACAAGAAGTTTTATATACAAGCATACACGTGTACATACATAAATACATGGTTTCACACATGTTTATATGTACTCGGTGAATCGCCAATGCCGGCACTTGTGCGCGGGTTATACGAGTTGAGCTTTTATCGCAAATTTTCGTGCTGAGCTCAAGTGTTTATTTTTATGTATGTATGTACATTAGACTGCGCCTTAGTTGTATGGAGAAAAATTTGTTTAAGCTAGAAAGCAAGACTCTCCCTAACCATGTTCCTTTTTTGTCATATAAGTGTACCCTGCGAAAAAATTTGTACAATTGGAACNTAAGTGTACCCTGCGAAAAAATTTGTACAATTGGAACTTTTAATGCAGTTTACTTTTATTTTACACGTAGACCATGAATCTACAGTCTTGCCCCTAACTTTCATATGGGAATATTTCGCCATCTTGGAATTTAGGTTTGTTTTGGGTTTCTTAAGATTTGCAAGCTTACTTTGCATTTTTTCGTAAAAAACGATTAAATATAAATTTGTAGAGAATTTAATTTCGCACATTTTTTTTTTATATATAAGCCTTTTAAATAAAATCATTTGTTATTGCAAACAATTATCAAAACGTGCTAAAAATGTTTACATTGTCACAGTTTTCGCCATTTTTCATTTTTAGCATATTTAAATGCCAAAGTTGTAGAGAATTTTCTCGTCGGATTCTCTGGTGGCACAAAAGTTGTAAAGCAAAATCGATTTTCCGGTTAGCCTAGATGCCACATTTTCAGATGCCATGTTGAATTTTTCAAAAGGTCATTGTTTTCAATGGGGGACATCTATGCGATAATTTTAAGACCTTAATCGCATCGGCACAATGGCCATCGTACTGTACCGGTTGACGTGATGCGGAGATGAATTTTACGCCGCTTCCCTTACATCGCTATGTTTAGTAAGTTCCCGGTCGTGATCTAAGCGTCGCACAAAAATAAAGTTCGTAAAAAAGTTATGGAGACTCAAATTCTCTACAACTTTAGCATTTGAATGTGCTACATGAAATTCAACTTCTGAAATGGTAATTTTACGTAGGAAAGACCTGAATAACTTTAAAAGTTGGAGAGGTTTAAAAACAGTGTAGCCATTTTTGACAACGGGGGACAAAACTACATCAAGTGCCATTAAAATATATTAAATTTCCCACTGAGTTGCAAAATAAGGCGCAGTCTAATGTACATACGTACATATGTACATATTTGCAGTTGTGTGCTGGTGAAAAGCCGGGCGTTGAGAATCTGCTCACAATCGCTCCGCTACCAGCTGAGCGCTTCTAGCGTTGATTCAAGTGACCGCAACAACTCACAGTGTTTTCGAATTCTACACCGTGCGCACACATAACCAGAATACCGCGGAAATAATTATTTTTCAAAAACTGAAATTACATTGGCCAATATTTTGATGACGAAAACGTAAAGAACGCAATAATTTAAGTTACAGCTGCCACTTTAGCGCGAAAATAATTGAACGAATGTATATCAAATGCAAAATAACAGTACAACTTTGCGAAACGTCGAAAATTTAGGTATTGGTGATTATCAGGGCCGAAAAGTTGAAGCTTTGGCTTGGAACTTCTTATTTTGCTTATTCAAGGCTTTCCAAGCTTAATTCTACCTTCTTCTTGACCTTCTAAGAAAAATGTCCAGAAATAAATTTCGATTATTTCGTGTGTGCGAATAATAGTGTCCAAGGAGTTTTGACATCTGACACTTTACAGCCTGCTGTCTCACTTTTTCCTAACGAAATAATGGAAGGGCACATATTTCTGTTGAAAACAAGGGTGTCTTGTGCTCTTCACAAACAAACTTTAGCAAACCATAGTAGAAAGCGTATCAAATTTCTTAAGAAATTCGCAGTGCTTAAGAAAATTTGGCTCAATCAAAGCTTATTAATTAGGTAGTTATTTAGTAGCATTAGAGCAAAAAAAAAAAAACATTTACGTGTATTTTGTTGTTGCTTCTGGAACCTAAAGTGTCAAAAACTATTCTGTTTTTTTCTTCTTTTAAACCAAAGGGTGCCATGAGAACTAAAAAAAAAGGAAAAATAAAAAATTTACATTGAAAAAGATAAAAGATTAGTAAATTTGCTTGCTTCTCGAAGCATTTGTCTATGCTTTGCAAGGCCCAGTAATCAGCGTTTGTGCTGCTAAGTTGGGTGAACGTTCCAAAAGCTGATATTAAAACGTTTGTTTTGTGTGGAAAACGGTTTCACATATATTATAACAATTTAGAATTTTTGTGAGAAAAAATTATAAATATTTGACATTTTAGAGACCAAATAATTAAAAAAAAAAATCAAATCAGCTGCTCTTCTGTTACTATCTGTTCAATGTGTCTTGGGCCAAATAAATTTTTCTTGGGCTTTTTTTGTTCAGCGAACCAAAGAAATGTTTACAAATAATAATATAAAAACAGAATTGGATTTTATTAACCCGTAACCTCAATTGTATTTGTGCTTGGGTAAAAAAATTTAAACCCAAAGCTTTGTCTCTACGGGAAGGTATTTGTGTTATTGAAGAGATTAAAAATAATTTATCTCAAATGAGGATTAACGAATATTTAAAAAAATTAAAACGACCAGCGCAGTTATTTATTATTTGAGAATATCAGGCAACACTTCAGTCCATTATAATTTTTCAATTCTTGAAATCAACTGAATAAAAACGGGTCATGTTGCGAGATACTTAATTTTTCTGCGTAGCACAAATTTTGATACATTACAAAGACAGTAGCGACACAATTCGGAATTCAAAAAACAAAAACTGTTACTATTCGTAAGTGGCTCTTGTTTCTAATCACGGTCGAATCCATTTCCTTTCCTTACTAAAGTAAGCAGTAAGGATTGCTAAAGCAAGTACAAAAGATTAGACATGGATTCGACAAGGATTAAAGACAACCGACGAGGATTGCTACTGTTAACGATTATCCTTGGATTCTCGACTATTTCCCAATTTCCAGGGATGACTATTATTTATTTGTCGAACTAAACGAATGTTCGTAAACAATAACATAAAACAGATTCGGTTCGACCCTATTAAGCTGGCATTTCAGGGTACTATTTTATATATATATATATAAGGAAAATTTGAAAGTTAGGGGGGGCTCGAGCACCCCCCTGCCCCTACCTGGCTACGCCCACGAATATGTACTTACTACACACGAGTACATACATATCTACATACATATGTAAATATGGCATGTTTATGTACTATGCATAAATATATGTACATATGTATGTAGTTAATGAATTTTTAATGAAAGCGTTGACACATGGCTATGCGAAAATAGTTGTGCATTCTACAGCATGAAATTGCATTAGTTACGCTTAACACTTAACTGAGCAAGTCGACTAGCTTTTAAAATGAGTGATAAATCAAGAGAACAAGATAAATGGCAACAGCGCAAGAGTAACGAGGAACAAGGACAATCCCTGTTAACAAATGGCCAGACGGCGAGGCGATCAAGCACTGAAAGTGAAAGTAGTATCCCTTATATGGACAGACTCAATGATGCCAGCAGCAGCTCCAGTATCAGCGTAGCGCCGACCACCAGTGGCAATGCAAGCAAAGAGCAATTGTTGGAAGACATTGATGGGCAGGGGCCCTCAAACGCAGAGAAACGCAATGTTCATTTAACCATCGTTGTACAGGTGGATGAAAAGGATAACCATTTTGAGGCTAAATGCACGGAACTTTCGCGGCTTCAAAGTGGCGACGGCTTCGTCGGTGGCGACGAAACTTGCTCAGAGTCTCCTGAAATTTTAGCTACTGCCGAGCCAGTGAGTAGAAGCTTGCGGCGGAATTCTATATCATTGCCGATGGGCATCGATGCTGTTGATCTCGAAGCTTTGCGCCTAAAATACCAAATGCAGGAACAAGAAGCTCTCAGCGAAGAGGAAAAGAGCGACAGCCATGGCGAAAGTGTAAGTACAAATCGATACCATGCCTTATTAAGGCGGATTCATCGTTTTAGTTTAGAACTAAATAGAACGACGAATCCGCCTATGGTACCTTTTTTCATTTATGGTGATTTCGTTTCTTCCAAAAAATGTTGCCCTACTCCGGTGCAAAATGTGGTTGATATTACACTCAGCCCTGTAAAAAGGCATGTTTGCCTTTAATTTAGAATCGAACACAAAAAGAGAAACAGACAATCAAAAGGCGACATTTTTTGGTAGAAACTAGAGATGGGTACGGGACTAAATATTTCCCGCACATCCCGAAATTCAATTTTTAAGAGCCGAACCCGCCCATCCAGACTTTTTTCAGAATTGTAACGCGGATCCCGTGGGCCCCGAAATCTATTATTAAGAAAAATTCGCATGTCTTTCAAATTAATTTTAAATAATAAAAAAAAAAAAAATGAAAGATCTGACATCTTCCGATTATTTTTTTTTGCTTTGCTGTTCATTTTCGTCCCAATAACACATAAAAAGTGAAAATTTCTCACATCGTTTTTAAGGAAGGTTTTCGAATTTTCTGAGGTTGCGGTTTTATCGGGAGTGTCGGGAATGGATTTTGGTCCCGTCCCGCCCGCAAAACTTCACAGACCTTCGCGATACCGCCCATCCCAGCCAATTTGAAATCAGTACCGTGGGTCCCGCGGGTCCCGATATCCCACGCCCATCTCTAGTAGAAACGAAATAACCATTAGACTTTAGCAAGCTTTCTGGGCACGAAATGTAGTTTTTTGCGTTCCCTTATTTCTGGGCATTTGTCCATTTAGTTTATAGTTCTTAAGTTGATATCCAACATAATTCTTCAACTCATCTCTAACCGACGCGCAGATACATAAAATGTGATAGAGAAACGAATTTTTAATTATACAGTAAAAAACGAAAGCTATATAAAGGGGAAAATTCCCAATAAAAAGTAAATAATCTTCAAAGTATCCTTAAAAAATCTTGAAAGAAAATAAAACGCGCAGTGAATCAAGTGGCAAAATTACTGTCGGACTGTATGTACTGTGAAGTAAATTATTATCATACGATATTGATTAACTACATAATACGAAAGGAGTAATAAAATGAAAGATTAATTTTTAAATTCATCTATGTATGTCGTCTCAATCAAAAAGGCATAATGTACTTTACTATTTCAATTTCAGTATTTCAATGATATGTTTGAGACCAACTGTAGAATTACATTGGAGTTCAAGTTGAGAACTAGCATTTTCTCAACTCGATAAACAGTCCTTTTTTCATACAAAGAAAAATGCCCTTTTTGTTGAGGTACTGTTGGAAAAAAACGTTGGAGATTTGAGAAATACCTTAGTTCTAAACTTAACCTTAAGTTGAGCTCAAACTTAAATGTTTTTTGGGCATGCATTTATGTATATGAAAGTCTCCACATTACCAAAGTGATTCCAGCGCCAACGCAACGCCAAAGTTGTATGTAAACGGGCCATTACATTCGTACATGCTTATGTATGTACATACATACATTCATATATAGTATTTTTACCGGTACATTTGTTAAACTTTTGTAATCACTCCTTAGCCGATAACGTTAATGTCAATATCTTCTTCTATATATGTAAATACGCCACAAGAAAATTTTGAACTCCCTTTTTTGAGGACACCGTTTGTTCGATACACCGATTTAAAGGATATAACTACCTCTAATCCAGAAATGTTAATCGCCAGACTAAAATGTGAAAATGTGGTGTATATCTCTAAAAACAATTCCGATGGGGAACCGAAATTTAGCACGGATGGATAAATTGTAAATACCCTACTTGTGCCGAAAAATGGCAGGTTGTGGAATAGGGGGCGTGGCACCTCCCATACAAACTGAGCTTCTCATATCGCGTATCCATGGAACCGCTTATGCTAACATTCTGAGATTTCACAAAAAGTGGTAGATATTGGAAAAGGGCGGTAGCACGTCCCCCGCCCATACAAACTGAAAATACCATATCGCATACATCTTGAACTGCTTATGCTATTTATGCTATCAATAACGAACTTAAGGCGAAAGGTGGTAAATAATGGGAAAGGGGGCGTCGAACCTCCCATAAAAACTGAACTTTTCACATCGCATACTAACGTCCTGAAAGTTGACACAGCTATTTATTCTACAAATAACGTACTTAGGGCGAATAGTGATAGATTTTGGAAAAAGGGCGAGGCACGTCCCATACAAACTGAACTTTTCACATCGCTTATCTGTGCAACCACCTGCGATAAGGTAATGGAATTTGATACACCTGAGCTTTGGCCCAATCTTGATGATGAAACTCCGTGTGAAATATTATATTTTGTTGTACACCTTTCGAGGTATTTTCTTAACCTTTACCGATTCTGATGAAAAGAAAGCGGAGTTTATGTAGATGTTGGCAATTTAGTTTTTAACCTTCCAAGAGGCTATCAGACCAATATAATCGAAAAACGTATTTACAGTCTGAATTGGTATGTATATGTTTAACATAGTAGTCAGTGGGCATCTCATCTATACATACATACAAATAAATGAAAATCCAGGTTCCTTTCTCGGTCTATTTGGTTTTAAATTTCTTTGTAAATTCGCTAACTTTTAGTGGTGGACTTCGAAATCGTCATTCGCATAAAGGAGTCAATATTGGTGACAAGCAAAATTCAAAAGTGTATGAAAAAAAAATTCGAATTTCGACGACTGGGCGATACTAGTACATATGTATAATTCACTGTGCGCTTTTTTATTTATTTATTTTTTGGTATTTTTATCAATATTGTTTGGTTTCTGATATGGCTTTCTTCCAAGTGAGGATGTTGCATTGCACGCTAACTTAAATAAGCAAAACTACATAAATATGTACATACATTGATACAGACATATTTACTGTGTATGTATGTATGTACAACAGGTTATGAAGCCTCTGTAATCACTGTTGATCGTAAAAAATGACGTCTGTGTCTGACATCAGGTGAAAAAAAGAACACAAAATAAGCAATAATAAATATATGTATGTATGTATATATATACACATTTTTATTTCTTAACTGCCCGCATAAAAAGTAAAAGCAAAGTATTAAAGCTTCAAAAGGTTGTCAATTTGTAATTAAACAAAATTTATTGCTTATAAACTCACACAAAACATTAAAGAGTAATTAAATTTATACCTACATACATATGTACATATGTACATTCGTAGGTAAATACATATGAAAATAATAAAATTCGACTTTTACAAGTCGTCGCCTGGGTAAAAGACTGTGTTATGTTAATTTCGGTCGGAAGTTTGGAATAATATTTCTCAAAAACGCCTCAATTGGAGACCCAATGCATTCTCAATCAAAACGGCACACTTTTTGTATGCAAAACAGTCTGATTTTTCCACTTGAGAAAATATTGGATATCAATTTGAAGTCAAAATTTATTCACCTTTTATTCAAACCTTAGAAAGAATTTTTCGGAAAAGTTTGTATATCCCCTGGAGGAAAAAATTTGAAAAATGTTTGCTTTGTGCACAATGGGATACTAGAAAAGGGCTTTCCATATTAAGGTAACGATATTTTTGCACCTATGTATGTATGTACATGTATATACATATTAGGGTGCCCATCGAAAAAGCTTTTTTTGGAAATTTCAAGACCCTACCCCGTAATTTGGTCGAGATCGGTCAAGTAGTTTTTGAGATACGCATATATTATATAAGTGGTCGGTGCCACCCCCATTTTCCTAAAATTTCTTGAAAAAACACTTTTTTGCTAAATAGCGATTGCATATATGAATTTTTAAAAAATTGTGATGAATTCCTTAGCCACACTGCCAAAAAAAAAATGGAAATTCCTGTACATACACACATAAATTCAAGGCCGTATTTAAGAAAAGTCGCCTAAATTCGACAATTTTTGTGCGATTGCAATAAATAAGGTATCAGTTTATTTGAAAATGGATTTAATTTTATATAGTACTCCATATTTTGCAATTGTAGAAATTATCGATGGTGAAATTTTAAAAAATTAGGAGAAATATGGATCTTTTTTTTAATTTGCCCGATAGAAAATCCCAACAGGCCTAGTCCGACAATAGATTAGTATATACCATTTTAAAGGCCTATATATCCTCCTCTCAGATCATATTGGATCTTCGAAATCTAATGAAAAATAGTCATTCAAAAACTCATAAATCTACAATATCCTATTTTCTGACTTAAATCAACATGTCGCGACCTCCAAATGACCTTTAAAAAATCCATAAAAATAGGCGATAATATTTCTCATAAAAACGAACAAAATTAGCGGGTAGAGTCTTGAAATTTCCAAAAAAAAAATGCATTTTCGATGGGCACCCTAATACATATGTATTTAGATGCCATGATGAGACCTTTATTAAACCCAGTTTGACATCATTATTTTTGCTTTTGACAATTTACTTAACAATTGGCGGATTCGTGTTAACGCTTGAAATAGCCATAAGCCGGACAATAAAAATAAATACATATGCAAACATATGTACATACATACATACATATGTACTCTGCAAAAAATTGTGCGACTAATCTCTAGGGAGACTATTCCGAGATTACTTTCAATGGGGTACAATTGGGCATTAATTAGTCGCAACATGTCTCATATGGGAGATCAATTAGTCCCCGACTCATCCCTTACGGGTATAATTGAAGATCAATTAGTCCCCGACTCAGCTCTATTGGGTACTATTAACGACACTTAGATGGTCCGGATGCACCGGAATGCATCTGCAAATCGTTACACCCTAATAAACGAATGAGAAAACTGTCTACCGTTTTGGCTGATGAAGATGGACGGTTGCCCGAAGCGATCAGATACAGATAACAGATCAATTTAACACCAGAGGTAATAAGTGACATAGAACGTTTTGCAGTATCACCGACGATATACATATATGTATGTACGCACTAACTCAATAAAGTTTATGTGCGGCGTTGGCACCCAGAGACAGTATTCGCTTAACAAAACTGAGAACCTCGGTTCGAATTAGTGTTGAAGCAAATTTTTATTTTTATTTTTTATTTTTAAAAGTGACTAGTCCTTTTTATACCCGTTTGGGAGCAGTTCATTCAGATATAACGAGATCAAAAGTGGTATTAGTCGCATGTTCCTTTGCCATTGCTCCCGGAGTCATCCCGGATTAGTCGCATTTTTTGCAGGGTATGTACATAAATACCTACGTACTTGTACCAAAAAAAAAAAAGCTGCAAATTATCGTGATTATTGACACACATACATATGTACATACCTACTTATGTACATGTTTACGACTACAAAGTTTGCATACAAATTATTCGTTTTAGCATTCAATTTGTGTCCGATGCTGCATAAAGCAAAACCAAGAACGCAGATTTCAATAAAGCAAAATTTACTCAGAAGCTTAAAAATATATTTACCTACTTTTTTATACAAATCGTTCCATTTATACTTTAGCCTCATATCGTCTCTAGATATCAGTCTGTAGAAAATGTAAGAAAAAATGCGTATTTCCTTCACTAAGGTACAATAAAATAGGACGATATACTTATATGCTAACGTTTATCATGAATTTGTTCTACCGTTCTTTAGCGTGTTAGCCTAAAAATATGCCCCAAATTTTGGTATAGATCGCCACCTTTAACTACACAGTCGCAATTCCATACATAGTACATATACCCACTAGGAACATGGGTACTGAATTGGCTGTTATGTCATGACGACTCCTCATGGGATACCTTTTTTTCATGTTTTGTCAACAGCTGCTGGAACGTTTAGTTTTTTGTAGAAAAATTTCAAATATGTATTCTGTTTAATCTTTTAATCAAGCAGTTGAACGGTAAATATTAAGTACAAAGCATTTAGGTATTAAATACCGAGTTGAATATATTTACGTCCATTAAGTCGAGGCCTCCAAACCATACTATGCGCTAAGTCTGACTAAGTCTAAGGTGACTTAGCATGGTATAGTTTGCAGGCGTCGAAGTGTGCTAAATACTTTAAGTAAATGTATTTACATTACATTTCATAAAATACTAGTTTAGCTTAACAAAATACCGATATGCAACAATTGTATGAATATCATAGAATGCCTTCAATATGAATGGAAAAAAATAAATGCCCTTGCCGCATTACACAATGTCTAGAAAGTAACTCCCCAGGCAAATAATATTTTCACTCAAACTTTAGTTCAAAATTAAACAGTAAATTTACGAGATTGTTTTGGTTAAAAATACTCATATGTGAATATTGTGTGATTGAAATCTAACGCACGTTTACGCAACCAAAAGTTTCATTCACGCACGGTTACGGAGGTTTTGTGATTATCCCTCAACCTCGCTCAAGTTCACACGTGAGAAGGGGTGAAACGACGTTTTACCTAGAAAAGTAATCATGGGAACTCCCGAAGTAGTCCTGAAAAGTCCCACAAATACTTCAATAGTCTCGAAACCCTGAAAAGCCCTAAAAAATCTCAAAAGATCCAGAAAAATATAAGGGAAAGTAAGACACAAAAATCTTGAAAAGTTCCGGAGAACATCTTGAAAATTTTTCAAAAATTCCCGAAAATTACGAAGCATTTCATTACATTGTCAATTCCTAAAATAAAAAAAAGCAAAAATAACAGATTATTTTTCGTTTCCAGGAACCGTTTATTATTTATAAACCTACTAAGTACTTTAATAATAATAGATTGGCGCTTACACAATAAGGTGGTTTTTGGCCGAGTTTCTCCTCCGATTTGTGCATTGCGCCTTGATGTTGTCACACAAATGGGAGGAACCTACAGTTTTATGTCGACTCCGAACGGCGATTGTATTTTTATGAGGAGCTGTTTTTCATTGCAGAAATACACTCGGAGGTTTGCCATTGCCTGCCGATTGTCGACCGCTATAAGAAACAACTTTTCCTTTCTTTTTTTTTGATTTTAGTCGGAACCTGAGCTTGGCTTACCAGAAAAGGAAAAGTTTTTGGTGGGCAGCTCATAACTAATATATAGATATATATATTTTTTTTTTTTAAATCAAACTAAAAGTAAATATTAGGTATATAAATATTAGGCATATATATATACATATATTTAAGTATAAATAAGTAAATATAAGTACACTACATTAAGCTGACAATTTTCACAACATTCCATCTTTAATTGTGCTTTCTCGTTCGCTCACATTTGCGCTCCAATAATTCCTGCCTATTAACTAAAATATACAAATATTGCAATTAAACAAAGTCACTGGCTTGGTGAAGTTCATTTTTAATTTCGACATCAGTTTATTAACAGCGACGGATCGAGAATATTGCTGCCTCTTCTGGCTAATTTAATTTAATTAAAACAATTTTTATTTAAAAGTGAACTAATTGAGTTACATACAAATACATACGTAAATAAGCATAGTACATATGTATTCATAGTACATACACACAAATGGCAGAGAATTCGAAAATATCGAATATCCGCAATATCAAAGGCGACGGCTACAATAACCTACCTTCGAAATCTGGCACCACAATAAATACTACATCAATTAGGGACAGTGGCAAATCATCTAGTGAACGAGTAGATAGTAGTTTGCAGGCAGGTACTTGCATTATTTTGTATGCGATTGTAGAGGAGGGGAAAACGAACGTATAAGAAAAGTGTGCCATGTTCCAAAAAATTTATTTATCTTACATTCACACTTAAGTACTCAGAAATAAGCAGCAAAAAAAGAAAGTTTTATTCGGCCTGAGCATTTTTTATTTACAGGAGCGTATTCCTGCTTTCGTGTGAATCGAAAAAAAAAAAAAACAAATTTGAAATTAGCAATTCGTACGAACACGAATTTTCGGACATAGCCATTTAATTTAACACTCCTTAGACAGATACTCAAATAAGGAATCCGCGGAGTTATTAATGACTACGTATTTTCTCATAGATAAACGATGATAGTTGCGGTTCTGTTACCCTAACTGTACCAGAAAGGAGTAGTTCATCAATAAACCAGAAGGATGAAGACGAAAGCGACGATGAAGAATATAGCAGCAGCCGTCGAAAATATCGGTGAGTATTATTATGATTTTATTTTTATTTGTATTATACATTCTACACATCGTACCTTTGCTGCAGAGTGTCATAATACCCCAAAAATAATGTTTTCAACTACCTGTCGACGCCACGCAGGCGGCATTACTGTATTGCGCCGCCGAAATGCGTGGCCACTTCAATAGTATTTCATATGTTTTACAGCCAATTTACACAATGACTTTTCACCCTGGGTGGAAAGTCATGCGTGTCGAGCTTGTAGCCAAGAAGTGCAGGGAAATCGAGGGGTTCTTTGACGTTTCGCTTTTATGGAATTCAATTTTTCGTATTTTTACTTTGAGTTCACGATTCTCTCCGCTTTAAAACTGAGGACGAAGGAGTTGACTAAAGAAAATTTGACGCTTAAATTTCAAAGAGATGCCGCAAAGAAAAAGTCATCGTGTAATTACACGAGGAGTTTAGAAGACTTTTTTGAAAGGGAACGTGCCGAAAACGCAGGGTGAAAAGTCGTCGTGTAAATTGGCCCTTTATTTTATGCCGCTCAGCCGCTCGCCGCTGTGCCGCTCATTGCGTGGCCTCGGCCTAAAAGCACCAAAAACAATTCATTTGTTAATGTGAACTGCATTAAGCATCATGCCATCAGCTGTTTTTCTTACTCGCAAATAGTTACTAGTAAAAATGTATCCAGTAAAAATCCAGTCAAACTTGCAAGTTCAGCTGTCATTTTTGCCCTTCCCAATTTCCCCCCTTTTGCTAGTTTCTTGCAAGTTTTTGCGTATGAAAAGGCTATCCAGTAAAAACCAGTAAAATTATTAGTGGATTTTACTGGATAGTGCGTAAGCAAACAGGCCTTATGTTTGTATGTGTACATATACATAGGTACTAGTAGTGCATATCGTCGTTTAAAGTACAAAACCGCGTATCGTCATTCTGCAAAACCGCGTAACTGACATTTGCGGCCAAAAATTGGATTTGCTCACACGAGCTCTTGGCTCAATCCTCTAGAAAATAATTTATGCAAACTCACATACGCGGTTTTGCATTTTGTTGATACGCGGTTTTGTACTTTAAACGACCATATGTACTCAAGTAATTTTTTCGCATTCCATAAAAAGTGTTTACATTTATAAAGATGATAAGAAGCGGCGTTAAATGTTCATAGTTCTTATTGCAAACTAAAATCACTCACATTATTGCACTCATCCAATATTATTATATTGTAGATCAAACTCCGTTGAGCTGTGGGCCAAACTTGGTGGGGATAGTATGAGTATGATGAGGGCAACGCATTCATATTTATGGCAACTTAAGGTCTGATTATGCATACTTCGCATAACTTCGCACAACCATTTGTACCAGTGCAATAAAAATCTAACTAAGGGAAATGTGAAGCAAAATTTAAACTCAACAGATCGCTAGGTTTTTAAAAGTTCTGCTAATTTATGGGTAATGGAATACATGCAAAGTTTATACGACATTACAGTTTAAAGTTTATGCGAAGTTGTGCGAAGTTATGCGAAGTATGCATTAAAATCTCTATCCGCCACATCCCTACTTGTAGTTATTTACGGGTTTAGTGACCCGTACGACCTCGCTGGTAATATTAATATTAATATTAAGGGCTTACATTTTCAGGGAACTTGTTTTTAGGTATTTCAAACAAAATTTCGAGGTGGGAGTCAAAAAAAGAAATAGTCGCAGATATATTTTTTTAGCTCCTGTAAATCTTGATGCATAATGTGTTTAGTACCAGGTTGACCGAGCTTTGCCCGGAGTGCAGTTTTTAAGATTTTGATAGCTTCAAAAAAATATTTATTAAGTAATTTCCTTACTCTAAAATTTAGGTGGCAACCCTATTCCGAAATACGCGGGAATGAATGGTACATATCTTGAGCGCATATGTACTATGTATGTATACATAAAAAAATGTTGATTGAGATTAACAAAGTAAAAAATTTGTATTACAAGGAAGCGTGGCAACCCTAATGGGAAATATTTTCTAACCAAAGTTCTCAACAATACCTGTCGTTTGATATCCATATTGCGATGTTTTGGATAAATTGTGTAGAATCGAAAATAAGCGGCAACCTTACACTATTATCCTAAGACATAACATTTTGTGTATAGGGAAAGCATTGTTTAAGAACCTTCTCTTGGTACCCATGAATAGTAATATTTTATCTTTTTTCCTAAACAAAAAATTTGATAAATATGCGATTCAAAATAGGTGGCAACCTTATTGAAAATATTTTTTGAATAAGGAATCTTTAAAATACCTTCCAGTTGATACCCATATTATGATGTTTTAATTAATTTTTAACTAACTTCGAATAGGTGGCAACCTTATATAAGTCTTCTTGGAGATATTGCCTATTCAGATAACCTTAAAATCCAAAACATTATCTGCGTACAAAATTTCATCAAAATCATTAGAGCCGTTTCCGAGAACCCCATGGATATATATATATACAAGAATTGCTCGTTTAATGTAATAAGATACATATATACTTACTTACTCATCCAGTGGGAATTGAAAGGACGTAATAATGCCCTACCAGCAACTTACTCCTCACCCGGTAGTCCTTTCTACTGTAAAAAAATTCTCATGCACATTCAACTATGTATGTATGTATGTAGTATGGGACCAACCGAAATTGAACGGCGTGCGTAAAAAGCCAACTCAATTTACATTTTTTTTTCTGCGTGACATTTGGATTTGACGTTTCACTCAGTGAAATCAAATTCAAAGGCACACAAGCCAATTTCGGGTATGCCAGAAAAACAAATTAGGCGGCGTTCGTTGACAAACGGAGTGCGTTTATTTCAAGTTAGGCTTTAAATTGCACCCAAAAAAAAAGTCAACCAAACATATTTCCCTCAACACATGATTTGGTCGCTTTAACCAAATAATTGGGGTATTCGCAATGGTGTGGTAAGTGTCGTATTGTATGCCGTAAACCTTAAACGCCTAAAGAATATATTAAGGGGTTCACAAAGTATGTACCATCAAAGTCATATTATGAATTTTCGCAGTGTTTGCACAATAGTTGGTTGTGGTTTCAAGTTCTCTACAACAATACGACACTAACGACACCATTGTGAATCCCTCAAATGTAACTGAAATTAAATCATGGTTGACCAAAATATATTTAGTTGACGTAACTAAACTCTTTTCTCGGTGTGGGTGTGCTTACGGATTTTCCAACTGGCCATTCACATGCATACACATACGCCTGCACTCATTCTAAAAGTATAAATCACGAGAATTCGAGCATAAGAGCAATTTTCAAAGCAAGTGAATTAATCAAAGTAGTTAGTTAGCTTTGGTACTAAGGAATCTGTAATCTGAAGATCGTAAGACAGAGCGTTTATCTTATTTAAAAGAGCTGTGAACATTCAGTGCGCGGTTGAAATTTCAAGCGATAAGAACTCAAAACATTCGCTCCGTTAGTCTGACAATACGCTGAAAATTAAACTGGTATACGTTTTACATAAATACATACATGCATATGTGTATGTACATATACATACATACATGTGTATATAATTTTATAAGTTAACTAAAATCATCAATTAACTGTTAGTAGTGAAAACATATGTACATACATATCTATATACATGGATATTTATGTACATACAGCTTACTGATATACAAAAAAAAAATTAAAAACACTCCACGAAAAAATTCGCATTATTTGAGTTATTTATTTTGAAAATTGCATAAGTCATCTCGTACCTGTTGTGCTTAAATGAGCGGCTACTTGTAACCTAATGCATCTGTAAATCGTTCGATCGTCGTAAATTAACAACAAAACCTTCTACCATCGGCGGAAGAAGTTGAACGAATAACCGACACGTGCAGATACAAGAAATTGGTAATTTAAGCGCAAGAGCAGTGAAGTGACTTATGCCATTTTAATGCTAATTTTATGCTTAAAAATATTTAATATGCATTTGTTCTGAGATATATACATACGTAAATAAAAAGATATGGATGCAGGAATGTATGTATGTATGTATGTATGTAAATTTTAATATGTCTGTACATCTTTACGCGACTAGCTACGTGGAATAATTATAGTAATACAATAATAATGCACTTACCGTTTGTATAAGTATACTTTTGCATACATATGTACATATACATACATGTACATACATATGTATGTGTTTACCTGGACTCTCCCACGCGATCGCATCGTACAGTGTATATACTTATGTACATATGTACAGATACATACGTAAATTATCAATATATTCGATTTGCAAATATATACATGGGCGTAGCCAGGTAGGGGCAGGGGGGGAGGGGGCGGCTTGGCCCGGGAAAACAGTTTATTTTTTTTTAATTTTTTATTTTTAATAACGTCTAGTCCGGCTATTTGGTTTACTATACAGGTATGTAGAGCTATGAATTTAAAAAATACATCAGGGTTTAGTTGAGATATTCGCATTTGACCATTATGTTTTGTACATTTCCCAGTACTGCAAAGCTTTTGACTGCCATTCAACTGGCAGTGGCCCGCGTGCGCTGGGTTAGGGTCCCGCCACGTTAAAACCCTGCCCAATGAAAAAAAAACACATGCCTCGGATGATACCCCCTTCTTTTGATGGCGATCACGGCAAACATAGGAAGGACTATGATTTTAGGGTATGCACTTGGAATATCCGAACCCTTAGTCGGGATGGTGCCTCTGCCCGGCTGGTTGATCTCCTAGGGCAAATAAAGGCTGACATCACCGCCACCTACGAAATGCGATGGACGGGGAGAGCAAGGTAAGCGTGGAGCCTTGCGACGTCTACTACAGTTGCCAAGTAAAGGAGTTGTTGTTGGATTTGTGGTGGGAGAGAGACCGGCCTTCACTCTAGTGGACGAAAGTCTAGCCACAATTCGCATCAAAGCGAGATTCTTCAACATCTCATTCATATGTGCCAATGCCCCGATGGAAGAGAGGGACGAGGCATCCAAGGCTCTCTTAGCTTAGAGCGTACATATTAGCTGAGGGTCATCGACTTCGCCGGGGCCCGAAACTTGGCAGTATGTATTTCTGGGTTCTAGCATAAAAAGATCCATCAACCTACATGGATGTCTCCACATCGAAAAACGGGAAACCACATCGAGCATGTTGTGATAGACGGAAAGCATGCTTCCATGTTTTCGATGTACATACGTACACTCCGAGGGCCAAACATCGACTCGCACTACTATATTGATGCATCCACTATACGACCCAACCTCGGAGCTGCAAAAAAAGAGCCCCCGCAATGCAAACAAAGTTCAACGTCGAAAAGCTGCAATCAAAACAGACGGCCAAAGGATTCGGCGCTCTTCAACAAACCGAGTTGCGCGATCAGTGGAACCACATTTCCCGCTCATTACTGGTATGATGAGGAGTGTGAGAAAATGCTTGAAATGCTGGCCGACAGAAAAAACACCCGAAATTTGTAGCAGAGAGTTGAGCGACTTACGGAAGGTTTCAAGACTCTTGTAGGAACAACCATGGCGACCTAGTGACCGATGTCTAGAACATACTCAGATTATGGAGGGAACACTTTTCGACCCTTTTGAATGGCAGAAGC